TTATCATTTACCAAAATCGAGATACATGCCAAATAAAAAGTATTATAAATTACGGACAACTAACATTGCAGTAAAACAAAAAGTCATTTTTTTTCTAAGAAATTTTTTTTACATTTTATACAATAAGATGCAATATCTTTCCCAATTTCTGGCTATATGTAGTATATTAATAAATAAAAGAATAATAATAAATTAAAAAAACAAATGGAAAATTTCAAATGACTCCCACTGTAAATTTAAACTATTACCAAAATTGGTAGATGATGATGACTTTTTAATAAAATATGAAGTTATCCAGAAAAAGTAACAGAGACTGGTCTTCTGATTCTTCTTTACCATAACTTTCTTCTTCATTATATACGCGTATACTACAGTTGTCGTTGTACTTTCACACGTTATTGAAATGTAAGATTGAATAAGCAGAAGATGGTTTAACATTTTTATCAACAACAACAGCATGTAAAATCACTTTATCTATTATTTACTATTACAAATTTTATAGTTGATAAACGAAATTGTAAGTATTCTTTTTTTGTGTGGAGTTCATTTTGAAAAATTTTGTGATTTCACAAACTAAAAAGTATCTTTTGTTTATCTTATTTCAGTTTTTCGCTTTATCTCATTATGGCATATTCATTTATTCTAGATTAATTAATATCATGAACATTAGTGTCTCGCTAGCTTTTTAAACAACTTCGATACTTCACCTTATCTAAGAGCTACTAATTCTAGAAATCATTACACTTCACTATGAATAGTGTATATTAAGAAAATAACTTTGACAAAATAATTTTTTATTCTTCCTCATCTGTTTTTTTTTCTTTTTCTTCAAATTCAACTTGACATCTCCTTCAAAAAATGTTGCAAATATTTTAAAACCATCTTTAAAATGTATTAACTCGAATTAAAAAACAAAACAATCTGTATACGGATTATCCATATCGAAATGCAATCGCTGCGAGAATTGATAGCTCGTAGATTAACTAAAACATCTAAGAAAGATACCTAGACGTAAGACGCTTCTCTTATTGGTAATCAAAAGGGAGTAAAACGATCGAGTATCTAAAAGTGGTCATCTGTCAAACTTGCAACTTTTAAGTTAGCGACTAATCAACCGTCTCGAATTAGGTCAAACGGTTTTGTATTAATGGACGAGCTGTCTTTTCTATACACTATATGTCTTGTTTTTTAGAGTATATCTATTTTTTCCTTCTTTCTCATCGTATTCAACAATGAAATGTTGCTTTTCAATCGTATTGCTAGTGGTGACTGTGATTGTTTGTGCTACGAAAAGTGAAGCCCAAAGAGTGATATCTGAAAAATATCCACTTGATGGAGATTTCAACAATATTAGAGCATCTGCACACATCGAATTCGAATTGACCCACGTCAATAGTGAACCAAGTGTCATTATCGAAACGGAAGAATGGGTGCATACAAGTCGCTATATAACTGTTTCAACAAGACCGAATGATTGTTTGTATTCATGATTTGAAGAATATTTTCTGATTTTATTCATAACTTCTAACCCCCTTTCTGAATATCAAGTAGAAACACTTTGTATATGCAAAGATCAAACGAACTTTTTGAATATACTCTATATGAACAAAAGGATAGTTGAACAAAGAGAAACATTAATTTAATAGATCTTTTGAGCAGATTTGCTAGTCCAGTCTCATCTTAATGTATTACAAGCAAAGAAAAACTTTCATTGTTACCTTTTATTCCGAAGACACTTTATTAAAAAAAAAAAGAAATACATTAATGTGAACACAATCTCTTTATTTAACTAAGTAAAAGACATCGAGAAAGTGATCATTATCATGAATCCTTGTCTAAAATGAAGAAATTTGATTTGTTTCAGTTTTGTTTGACAGATCTTGATATCAAATTGGTGGGTGGCATCAATTATCCAACAATCAAAGTGTATGTTAATTACCGCACACCTCTGGTTAGTTTGGAAATAGATGGAACATCGTCAATGAGATCAACAAACGTCGTTGTTAGTAATCCTTCATCGCTTTTGAATGTTGCACATTCTGGAACTGGCACCGTAATACTCGAACTACAGCACGACTCTAATATTAATGTTGCCATATCGGGTACAGGTCAACTCATTTTATCTGGTCGAGTTCGAGGGAATGGACGATTGAGTATCTCAGGCACTGCGCATTTGGATGCAGTCACATGTCCAATGAAAATTGTGACTGTTGAAATGTCTGGAACTGGATTAGCTAGGGTTTATGGTATAGAAGGAGTTCATATCACTATGAGCGGAGTTGGTACCATTTGTTATCGAGGACCTTTGCTCAGTCAAGTAATAAATGGTCTTGGTTCGATCAGAGAGTGTATTCTTGAACAGACGTCTGAAAAACCGCCATATTCATCATCGCAAAGTGACAAAATCATGGATAGAAATCAACGATTAATGGTGATTCTTGCTACTACAGTTTTCTTTCTCTTCTTCTAACTTATCATTAATTGACATCATTGTTTTTCTTTTCAATTCATAATCCATGACCCTATAAAGTATGCCTTTCCCGCAAGAAAATCTTCTTGCACTGATTTGAATAAGATCATGTTCGTTTCTTAGACAACAACATGAGATATAAGAATAAACCTTGTTTTAATAATATCATAAAGTTTTACGGCTAGTGTGTGGAGTGTGGGTGTGGATATGTGACAACAGAATTGGCCACACTCACAACCTTACTCCACACCCACACCCTTATGAAGACAAGATCGATACTCACACACTCACCCACATCCACATCCACACCCTCAAATTACCTAAATACTGGACGTTTTGCATTGACATTCCCAATGGATGCATTTGGTTTTAATTGGATACTTTCTTTTACAGCTTGAATATATTCTATTGTTGTTACTGTCGTATGAAGTGCATGTGATCTTAATAAGTCATTTACCGTCTTTTATCAGTATTCATGTAACTTTAAACTGTAAAAAGTCTTTGACGTTGTAAAATGGGGTGAATTTGTGAAATATTCCTTATGTACTGTAAAGATGATTATTATCTTTATTTATGTATCAAAAGATTAAATAGAATGCAAAATTTATTTATTTCTCGTTTGAATTGAGTAGAAAAAAACTCATATTTGAACGAAATGATTTATTAATCTAATATATTCTTAGAAAAAAAGAATAATAATTTACATACAAGTCTGGACTTATTTATTTATTTATTTACACCTATTCAGAAAGCAAAATGGACTCATTCTCATCATGTTTTTCTGTCGAGATCAGCTAAAGATCGATTTTAAATTCGAATTCCATATCATCGACCACTTTTAATCAAATTTTTGAGATAATTATCTTTTTTTTTCTCTTGTATTATTGTTGAACTTTTCTCTATGAAAACGAGAACTATTTTACACTGTTTAATACAAGTAACACATATCGGTCAGGAATGAATGAAGGAAAAGCAAGGAACAAAGAATATATGTGTTTATTCTAACATGCGACAAATAATGGCAAATGATTGTTCGGAGTCATTAGTCTGAATGAACTTTTTGTCGTTATTGACCTTGGCCAGTACTTGTGCGGAATGAGCACACGATCAATACATATATATAAGGATAGAACGGAAAAAATATTTAGTTCAATAGTAGTGTGCTTCTTATCCACTACGTATTTTTTCCGTTCTGTCCTTGTATAGATATATATATTGATGGTGTGCTCATTCCGTACATGCACCAGGTAATTCATCAATGCTCACTTCTATCTTTCTTTTTTTTTCTTGATTATTTGACCTCTATGCTCATATACATATCTGATCTCGGTTAGATATAAATCATCGGATTACTAGATATAGTTCAAAATATCATTGGACGATGACTATAGTTTTTTTTCTTATGAATTATTATGTTTCGCATAGATTTGCTGAAACTATGCATTAACTATAACGTTATTATATTCTTTTGTTTCATCTTCTATATATACATAACTTATTGAGATTATTTATTAAATTGATGAAATAAGTTGTAATATTTTATGAGTCAAATTTGAGTGAGCATACGGATGGTTATTTCTTTTTTTTTTGCTAGATAATATGGAATTTTCCAAAGGCAATATGAAACAATTTAATAATGAAAAAATAAAAATATTAGAATGTAAATTTAAACAACAAACGTAAGTTATTAATAAAAGAAATATATATTTTTTTTTTATATTAGATTTTCATATATATAGATTATCAATAACAACTATTGAAGATTTTTCTAATGAATTATTTTTTCAAATATTTGATTATTTAGATGGTTGTGAAATATATTATGGATTTATGAATCTTAATAAACGTTTTCAACAATTACTTAATTCTTCATTACTTTTATTTAAAATTAATTTCGATAATAAATTCTTTATGAATATTTGTAAACAAATCATGACATTGAATAAACATCAAATATTTTCTATTAATTCTTGTAAACCATTATCAATGAATAGATTTTTTTCATCATTTTCATTTGATTCATCCTTTAAACAACTTGAATCACTTGTTCTTTATGAATCTCAATCAAATATATTAATTCCATTTCTCAATAATTTATCTTATTTACCACGTTTATTTTCATTAACTCTCTATTTATTAGAAGGTTTAACAAATCTAGTTGATATTTATAAAATTATTTTAAAATTATCAATGTTAAAATATTTAGTTATAA